TCAAGAGATAGCAATAATCGTAATTATCTTATCTTAACACTCCCCCTTAATTACTTATTATTGCGTATTGTGTACTGTCTCGTTAAAAACCTTATCATGGAAAAACCCAGTGGGATAAAAACCATGATAAAGGAAAAGAGTACAGTGACGTAATCTCCCCTGGAACAGACGAATCTTGTTCTCTGTATAGCTTTTGTAGATGATGCATCTCGATTATGCTCTACGCTTCTTCTGATCTCATCAATGAATGACAAAGATTTTTGAAGAGAGATAGACCTTCACTTTGATGTCTATCTTTTGCGTGTTATTTGCTGCCTCGTTAAAAACCTTGTCATGGAAAAACCTAGTGGGATAAAAACCATGATAAGAGAAAAAGAGTGCAGCCACGCTCACCATCATATGTCTCCCCCTGGAAGCATCATCTTCAAAGGATGCATTTCGATCTGTGAAGATGTTTTCTTAATGTTGCAGCGCCTTTGAACTGAAACTGCTACATTGTTTCTTGGCCGGATGTACTGAACATCAACTTCTTGCTTCTTCTCAAATTCTTGAGTGCATAAGAAGAATATTGGAGAAATATGTCTTGTCATCTCGCTTTTGACATAACTTCCTTTGTGTTGGAAAACATATGTAACAACGTCTTGTTGTTGGCTCTTCACTGGTACATATATTTCTTGCTACTTGTATATGTTGAGGGCATCAATCTGAGCCATACAGATTCTCGACAAGCTCATGGAGCGCAATAATTTGGCATGGCTTGAACAAGCGACGACCAAAATTTCTTGTTGTAAACACCACGAAGTTGTTGTTTTGCGATATATATTTAAAGAGATCTGATATAGATTCCCCATCTGCAAAACCAACTAAACCAAACTCGGGGTTTCTAGAATAAAATAAGCCCAAGTTAATCGTACCTTGCAGATATGGTAGATACATTTGAACTCATTCAAGGTCTAGTCGGAGGAGATCAATTATACCTGCAAGTAGATCAATAGCAAATACTAGGTACAATATATTCACTAGATATATAAATGCTCGTCAACATTTATATATGCTAGCTACAATTCACAAAATATATAAATACTCGTCAGCATTTATATATAGTGCTTCATGATCAAACTATATAAAGTCGACTTCCTTTAGAAGTGACTAATATAACATCTCTTTCTTTAGATGTTTAGTTGGAATATCTGGAAACACTTTTGTCTTTCCAAGATCTTTTATTCCAAATAACTCTTTAAGAGTTTCGATGATGTACAAAATCATCATACTTATAACTTCCCGTGATTATAACTATGATATCATATATCTTTCAAGGATTAGTCCTACAGACATCCCATGAGGCGCAATTCAAGTCATTTATTCATCAACTCAATATCGAGTGATTTTGACAAACCTGGCGCGACATACCGTTTTGTCTTAGGTATCATAATACTCTTTTGATGCTTGGACCATGTGTCCAGGATTTACTCGTTTTTTATACGAGATTAATATAGACTTGGCTGCGTCTTTGTTTATTGGCCAATATATATCTCTTTACGCTCACAGAGCGGAGATTCATGATCCTCATTAATTACATTTGCGCGCTAAATCATTTTTCTTGTCGACATTATGTTGTCTTTGGTTCCATATTTGCCGTAATGACATGGTTAATCGAGATCTCTTAATCATTATAAATGATTTTATTCAGGTACCTGATTTCGCTGTTAACCATGACAATCGGTATTTTTACCCCTCTTTAGGAGTCTCTTTGCTCCTCTTGAGGAGTCTCTATACTCCTCTTTAGAAGTCTATATGCTCCTCTTTTAAGAGTTAAATCCTCTTTTTAATAATAATATGCTCCTTTTTTTATTTTCGAGGATTTTCGTTATATGTGGAACCAAAGTTGTCTATCACGTTCTTTAACGTGTTATAGACAATAGTATGTCATCCAAAAGAGACATATTTTTGTAGAGCATTTTTAGCTAGAACGAGAGATTTCTTATGAACTTTAAGTTCATATGCATTTATACGAGGATCAATAATTTATGAAATCTCATCCATCAGCTTTTTGCATTTGATTTGCAATATATTCTGAATAGTGATCCTTTTGAACTTTTGAACTCTAAAGTTCATATTTATTATATTTATTTGTTCAAAGATCTAAACTATTCAATGATTCTCCCATAATGATGGGAAATTTTTTATCATCAACATGATGATTTGCAAATCTTGCAATAGGCACATCTCTCATAAGATGGCTCAATATTTGTAGAGCAGAGACTCATCTCCTACATCTATATATTTCATCTTTTTTTTTGGATGATATTTTTATGCGGTGCAGAGGAGCATTTATAACATATATCTCACACCCATAAAATGAGAAATATTTGATCTCCAATCATGTATATATAACATGGGAGAATATTTCTTATAAATTGTTGGCCTTATATATAATTATTAATACATGCAAAACTGCATGCTCCATGTAAAAACATGGAGATTAAATCACCATGAATCGTTTTGCAATCTCTTAGATTTGCGCTATGAACGATTCGCTTAAAGCTCATTTTGAGAGTGAACATCATTTTTAGATGTTCCACTTTATCAAAAAACGATAAATTTTAGGATATGACTTCACCAGAGTTATCTCACTCTGGGGTGTCAAACTCACCAAAATTTATCGACTTATTGTCGATGTGGGATTATCGACTTATTGTCGATGTGGGATTCCTTTAATTCTCCCCCTCGAGATGATAACTCTTCGAGTTCATTCATCTCGAATTGAATCCCACTTTAGGATCAATAACATATCCAATATGGATCATGTATTTATTCTTAGATCCTTATAAAAATGTGGGACTTGTAATACCCCTTCTCAAGATGATGGCTTTTTAAGCCTATTTATCTTGGACCGAATCTTATTTTTATATCGATTATATTCGGGGATTAATTTGGAGATTATTGAGGAAATCAACCAGCATATACAATGAGCTTATTAAAAAAATGGTGATTTGGCCAAAAATCATATGTTTCTGGAGGCTTAGCCTACTACAGAATTAAAGAGGAGGAGATATATAACCTTCAACTCCGTATATAATATTAAATTTAAATTTAAATGAATTTAAATAAATTCAACATAAATTAAATGTTACCTCTGAAATGTGGACGGAAGCATGCAGTGCTTGAATAGCATTCTCTTTGTTTATATAAAATTTTAGTGATATTTAATCACTCTTTTTTGAGTTCCAATTTAGGTCATCAACATATATAGCAATGATCACAAATCTCGATGGAGATTTCTTAATAAAGACGCAAGAGCATATTTCATTATTAACATACTCTTTGTTTAAGAAATAATCGCTTAAGCAATATATCATATGCGTCCGGATTATTTTAATCCGTAAAGTGATCACTGTAATTTGACCGTACATATTTCATTAGAGTTTGAGTCTAATGGCTCAGGAACTTTAAATCCTTCTAGGATTTTTATGTATATATTAAATCCAACGATCCATATAAACATGTTGTCACTACATCCATAAGGTATAATTCTAAATGATAAGAGACCGTTAGGCTCGTTGTGTACCTGAATGTAATTGTATCTATGACTGGAGAATATGTTTCTTCATAATCAACTCCAAGTCTTTGAGAAAAACCTTGTGTAACAAGTCGGACTTTATATCGTGTGATTTCAACTTTTTGACACGAAGACCCACTTGCACGCAACAAGTTTTAATCTTTAGATGTAGTGACAAGATATCCAACGACATCTCTTTTATTAAGGGAGAGCAATTCAATACATTGCATTTTTTTTTCCCAATCAGGTCTTTGTTGGCACTAATAAAGACCCTGGATCTGGATCATCATTATATATTGCATTTTTCTACCGGGATGGCTTGCCCGGTTATGCTATGCAATAGCAATTAGCAAACTTCTGTTTACTAGCATAAATATTTTTACCATCTTTATTTTGCATGATATAATCATACATTTGCGTGTCTCCATTGTGGTCGGACATTCGATACCACATTAATTTATAATCTCAATATAATAATTATAAGATAAATATCTTTGAAACAATACGAGTTTCTTTGAGACTTTGGAGAACACAAAGCATCAATTATTATGAATCTGATGCATTTGGAAGTCGAGAGACTATCTCATCTAGACCTTCCAATTATTTGCACTGTCTAAAAATATATTGACACGTGCTTCATATATTCTCAGAAGAGAAATATATTTTTGATTTTAAAGACATATTTCAAAGTTTTTAAATCTCATACAATACATATATTTATACTTTACGAATAAAATAAATAAAAATAATTAAACATATAAATTCACAAAAATAATAATTTATGGACTATAGCCTTTTCATACAAGAATTCAGGAGGCATTGCCTTCCATTAAGAATTCAATAGGCATAGCTTTCGTATGATCGTAGAGAAGGACGCAGAGCCTACCATATATATCGATCAATCCGGAAAAAATATAAATTTTTATTTGATCGTTAGGAAGGTAAAACCTACCATATATGACGATCGATCCGGAAAAAGCATAGCCATTTATTTGATCGTAAAGGAGGCATAGCCTACCATATATAACGATCTATCCGGAAAAGACATAGCTTTTTATTTGATCGTAAAGAAGGCAGAGCCTACCATTATAACGATCAAACCGGAAAAAATGCATAATTATGTCTAAAAAATACCATAAATACCATAAATATTGAAAAAATACCATATGTCTAAAATAATTATGTTCTATAAACATAAATAAATTTAAATAATAGAAATTATAATTTACCTCGTAAACGCTTTAGCGGTAAAGACATCGTGCTGATAACGTGTTGAATAAAAATACTAAAATGAGAAAATATTAAAATAATAGAAAAGAGGAAGGAGACGTGATCGCTCTTTTATCTTTTCTCTCTACGTCTGTTACTACAACTTCTCATACTACAACTTCTCAAAATGAGACTATATATAGGGGAGGAAAAGTGTTCAAGAGATAGCAATAATCGTAATTATCTTATCTTAACACAACCAACCAAAGATATTGAAAGAAAGAAAGAAGTCACTGGGAATTCCTCTCTTAAAACCAAATCGATTTTGCAACTCATCGATTTTTACTTCTTCTGTCGGAATTCCTCTCGTCAAAGAATCTGTGATAAAACTTCTTTGGTCTCAGATTGTCAAAGTCGACAACTTGAAGATCTCAGCTAGATATTCTGGTTCGTTTCATCAAACTTCTTCTTCTTCTTCTTTACTTTCTTGGTCACAAATCCAGCTTTTATCAATCCGGCCGTCACCAATCCTTGTTTCATCTTTTCGTTTCAGTTCCCAAAGACTCCACAAGTCTCCAATTTTGTGCCAAGAGGTCTCTACAATCGCTTCATTACCTCGGTATGTCTTCAATTGAATTGATTTATTTTCTCCTTGTGTTCATCTTCCTACCAATCTCAAAGTTTTGTTCTTGCCCATGTGTTTGTTTCCAACGGAACTTTCTCTCTCTCTTCACTGTAAATAGGTTGTTTGATATGAAATTTGGGAACTTGCTACTGCTTTGAAAGTTGGGAACTTTCTGTTGCTGTTGGTGTTGTATACTTGCAACTTGGGTATTGAAAGTTGGGAACTTACTACTGCTTTGAAAGTTGGGAACTTGCTGTTGTTGTTGGTGTTGTATACTTGCAACTTGGGTATTGAAAGTTGGGAACTTGCTGTTGGTGTTGCATAAAAATATGGAAATGTTAGAGGGTCGACCGGTTAATACTTTGACAGTTGTTGAATTGCGAAAACATCTTTCTGATCGCAATTACTCAACAACAGGCAAAAAAGCTTTATTGATTGACCGTTTGAATGAGGCACTTAAAACGATAAGCAGTGAGCAACCAGAAGGCGAGCAACAAGAAGAAGAAGAAGAAGGACCAAAGCCAAACGCAGATCGTCTTCTTTTTCTTGATTTGGAATTTGAAAAGGAGGATGTTATAGAGTTTGCTGTGCTTATCGTTGACTCTAAGACACTCGAGGCGGTTTATAACTACGAAACATTTATCAAACCAAGTGATGGTGTTGTTTCCAAGTTCCGTGATAGGCCAAACGGAATCACCAAAGCCAAGCTCCAAAGAGCACCAACATTCTTAGACGTCCACGAAGACATTTTCAAAGTTCTTCATGGTTAGTTCTCTTTACATTTTTGTCTCTTTCATTGCATTGCACTAGATGTTTTGTATAATGTATCGTTATAAAAATTGTGTGGTCTGATTTTTGTATAGGTGGAATCTGGATTGGACATAACATAATTCGCACCGACATTCCACTCTTACTGAAGATGTATAGGAGGCACAATTTGCCAGAGAAGCGCATTCCATCATTCAGATACAAGATCGATACACTCAAGTGGTTGGAGGGAAATTTTCTGGGAAAAACACAGGGTCTAAAGCTTAATGAACTTGGTAAATTCTTCAAATTAGAAGAACAAACGCACCGGAGTTTAGAGGATTGTGACTTGAACTTGCAAGTTTTCAAGTTATGTTTATGCGTCATAGGAATGGAAAAAATGTTTGACAGCGAGGAATCAAAAGTGGTGGGGACTTCTAGGAAAAGTAAGAGATTAAGGGAACAACAATTAGAGCGGTGGTAAGTCAAATATTAATAGCGAGTTCAATATTCCTTCACCTGGACATATTCTCATATATGGGCCTCCTGTGAGTTCTCTATCCATTTTGGTTGTTCCATTTGGTATTCCTCGAATATGAATTTAGTGCATTTTGGTCCTTGGATTTACAAGTGTGTAAAAATAAACTAGCATGCTCACACTCTCCTCTCATCTATTGAATTTATTTAAGGAAATATTGAATTTTCTCTTTCCTCTAATTTTGTTAACAAAGTTATTTTCCTTTAATTTAGAAATATTTCAAAAATTTTATTAAAAATTTATCTCTCATCTTTTTATGATCATATTTTTTTAAAAAATTGAATCAATACATAGTCTATATAATAAATAAAATCTAGATTTTATTTTTCATATATGTTGTGATTTGAATTTTTAAAAACGGACATAATTTACTTAATTAGTAAAAAAAAAGAGTGAATTTTAATATTTTAATATTTGATTTAACACACATCCAAAAAATATTTAATATTTTGAATAAAAAGTAAAGAAACTTTGACAAAAATAAAAATAAAGAACAAAACTATTCAATCAAAAACAATAAATAATCACTTAAAAATGTGAAAAAATTGCATTGTATCATAAAGATCAGCGGGTTACTGAAATTTGAAATCAGAATATATAAACAAGCTTTTGTATCATAAAGATCAACGGGTCACTATGTCTTTGATTCGTTTAATATCTTTTATAGATCAATTAGAGTTTATATTTACGTTACAAGAAAACTTTCAAATCATGAATTTTAAAATTTATAAATTTAACGTTTGTACTGCGGTGTACCGCGGGTTAAGACCTAGTATGTCATTAGTACACAGAAGACCCTTTTAGACAACATACTCCCTCTAGTTTCTAATACCCTTTTAGACAACATAGGAGTAGTTTCTATGTAAATTATTTTTTATTTTTAAGACACTTATATGTAAGGATCAATGGAGGAGAAAAAGATAATTGAAATTTAGTGGTTTTTAGATTAAACTAAGTATAAAATTAAATATTAATTTATAGTTAAGACATCCTTTAGGGGATGACCAATGTAGATGCTCTAATGTGTCATTTTAATTTTCTTATATACGCAAGATTAATTCGTTGAGCATAAAAAATATATTACACTCAAACTCTCTAAATAGCTATTTTATGACATACCTTTTGGCTATTTATAATTATGACATTTTTTTATCTTATTTTTCAAAGTATTTTTCAGATAAAATTCTAATATATTTATTTTTTTCTTTTAAAAATGGGTTTGTTTAGAATTTGCTGTGTATTGTGTAGTTCTGGACCTTCTGGTTCATATAGTACCTGGGTTCGTTTAGACCACTCAATGAACGATGAAATTATATAAAGATTTGTGTAAACTACAATTAGATATGGACAAAAATGAGTGCGACTTCATGAAACCAATAAAGCAAATAAGACGTTAGGGACGAAGGGTAGGTGAATGATTTTTTCAATTCTAAGACGTGAAGTTTCGTAAGTACAGTAAAACCTCTATAAATTAATAATATTGGGACCGTGGAATTTTATTAATTTATAAAGTGTTGTGAACTGTGTCTTTCATTAATAGAAAAGGGGATATATATACAAGGATAATAGCAGGATACAGAAAATAAGGTAAAACCCTAATGGGCCATGGGCCGGTTATGGAGTCCATCCATATGGTTTATAACACTCCCCCTTGGAAGACATAACCGTGCCCGATACTAAATCGGGATCTCTATAATGCGCTGGGGAATGTTGCCTCATTAAAACCTTACTAGGAAAACCCAGTGGGACAAAACCATGGTGAAGGAAAAAGAGTACAACACGCATTACTCCCCCTGATTTGAGCATCACTGTAGATCCTTAAGTCCGTGCATCCCGATTTGATGAATGAGCTTCCGGAACGTTGAAGTCGGCAATGATTTGGTGAATAGGTCGGCTGAATTCTCACTTGACCGGATCTGTTGAACTTTGACCTGACCGTCCTTCTGTAATTCATGAGTGAATAAGAGTTTTGGCAAAATGTGCTTTGTCCGGTCTCTCTTAATGTAGCCATCCTTGAGTTGAGCAATACAGACTGTGTTGTCTTCAAATATGATGGTCTTTGATGTAGTAGTAGTTGCGCCTTAAGGAAGGCTGCCTACGTACCCGTGAAAGGGATCAAGCCACACGTAGTTCCTATTCATTGACCATGCCATAATCTGATCTTATGAATAACCTGCATCAGCAAATCAAACTAAACCAAAGCAAACTGGCCCTTCTTTGGTTAGATCAGTATAGAACAAAACCCAAGTAAACAACGCAGGAAGAATAGACTTTAAAACTTAGCCAAACCTTCCTTTAACCCTTTCCAGTGCCTTTGGGTTGATCATGAACTAAATTTAGACAGGAGACTCACGGCAAAACAAATGTTTGGTCTAGTGTGTCTAGCCAAATTCATTAGAACTCCTATGGCACTGAGGTATGGCATTTCCGGACTGAATGGATCACTATCCAATCTGAGGCTTCTCACCACCATTGGGCCTGGTCAATGGGCGGGCCTGGTCCTTATTAAATCTCCTTGAGTACTCTTTCAGTGTATGCCATTTGATGCACAAGGATTCCATTATTCACGTACTCAGGTTGTAATCCCAAACATAACTTAATTATTACCTAGGTCTTTCATTTCAGATTCTTTCTTTAGATATACTCAACTATTTGGTCGATTACCCAGAGGTTTAAATCATTCATATACACTGCTATGATTACAAATCCTTTGTTTGCAAACTTCTTGATAAAAATACATGGACTAATCGGATCATTTTTATAGCCTTCTCTGATGAGATATTCGCTTAACCGGTTATACCACATACGTCCGCTTTGTTTCAGTCCATATAAGGATTTGTCCAGCCTTATGCAGTGCTGTTCTCGAGAATCTTTCTTATCTTTGAGCTCAATACCCTCTGGTAATCTCATATATTATCCAGTGGACTTATATAAATATGCAGGCATTACATCCATTAGCCGCAAATCTTTCTCTTTTATATAGCCAGACTTAGCAAAGATTTAAATGTCTTAGCATCCACCACAGGGGAGTATATCTCCTCTATTTCTGGTCTTTGTGTGAATCCTTGTGCGACAAGCCGTGTCTGATATATCACGCTTTCACTATGTTTATTTCACATAATCACAAAGACTCATTTGTCCCACTGGCTTTACATTGAATGGTGTCCTTCGTATTGGACCAAACACATTCTTCTTCTTAATGATTATTAGCTCCACGTTTTATGGTCTTGTACCATTTTAATCAATCAGGTCTTTGAGTGCACTCTAGTATAGACGTGGGCTCCTGATCCTCATTCATTTCAGTTGCTACCTTGTACGCAAATATTTTATCATTGATGTCGACATCTTTTCGGTTCCATTGTATTCTAGACATGATATAGTTTATAGAGATCTCTTTACACCTTCAGGACCTTGAGGTTTGGCGTCCCAAACCTCATTGATTGGTACCTTAGGGTTATGTCTATTAGCCGGCCATGTCTATGGTTTCTTGAACCTTCTCGGTTTCCCTTGCACCTTTCTTTGATTTCTGAGGGTTCTTGTCTTTGGAACCTTTTGGGTCTACCACATTTCTTACGTGTTGTAGCCTCTGTAGCAACTTGATTGTGTTCCTTGTGAACATCAATACGTACTGGTGCATTACAAGCTGGTATGTACGATTTTGTTACTCTCTTTGGGTCATTATAGGAATCTTGGCAACTGTTTTAGCTAGCTTTTGCAGATATATAGTCTTTTGGATCTCTGATGGAGTCCGAGGATCTTGCCATGTGAAGGATGTTTGATTCCATGTAAGTTCTTTGACCAGCTTGTTAGTCTCTCCACCCAGTGTTGGGAAAACGGATTCATTGAGATGACAATCCTTGTATCTGGCCTTTGGCTCGAGATACTTAATGATGGTGGGAGAATCATTTTTAACGTATATTCCCATCCTCTTTTGAGGTCCCATTATTTTCTCTCTGTGGTGGTGCTATGGGTAAATAGGTGACACACCTAAATGTCTTTAGATGGGACATATCTGGCTCCTGACCTGTGAGTAGTTGGGATGGTGAATATCTATGCTCACTAGAATGGCCTGATGCGTATATGCTCTTGTTGCATGTAATATTGCGTGTCCCCAAGCAGCTACTGTGAGTTCAAGTATGGACATGTGCCACGGGGTATACTACTCTCCCTCTCATGGACATACTGTAGCCATAAAACGCTTGGGACATAATTTACCAGCATTATCTAGACATATAGTCTTAAGTATGTGGGCTCACAGACTTATGGTCTGGGCCAGCAATTTAGGAAACACCAAGTTTCTAGTTGCTTTGACTGGTGATGGCCTTAGTATGAGTTTCCCTTGTGTACATGCTACACACGTGAGGTCCTTAAGAGGTGTGCCCTTTTGATTTTAATATCAGCTTTACGCATCATGTTAGAACCAGGCTGGCCAGGCCGGTCATGCCATTAGTGAATTTCTTAGTAAACCCTTTTGTTTACTGTATTAGCCTTTATCATATTGACCTTGGCATAGTAAAAGTCTATGACGCGGGTATAGTCTCTAAGACCTTCTCATGGTCTTGGGTGCTCTTAGTAATATATGGGAAACCTTAGTAATATAAGACATTTCTTTGAAACTCAACAAGCCCCTTTGGGCTGGGTGAATATGAAGCATCTGAGGATGTGTGCCCTTGGGAATATGGGCCTGCCATGGGCCTGCCCTTAGCCTTCACTAAATTTAGCTATACCCGCAATTTGGCTAATGAACCATGTCTTTAGATATTTCGTTTATTAAATTCTCATAGTCATCTATCTCATGGTCGAAATCTTCTTCACCATCGTGATGAACTAAATGAGCTTCTAGATTCTTTTCAAACTCTCTTGATAGAGATCAACGAGATGCTTAGGTGTCCTGCACGTCTTAGTCCAATGGTTTTCCCATTCCTCTTCAGTGGCAAACAAGTTTATTTGAGTGTTATGGTTTGGGTATACCGCGGCCTCTACCTCGATTACGACCAAAGTCGGGTCGGCGGCCTTAACCATAAGAATAGTTTCCTTGATCATATAAATTATAATTGCCACTTCTACCACGTCCATTCCATTTACCATGACTATGGCCATGATACTTATCTCTTTGGACGTGGTTAAACTCTTTAGTCTCTTTA